TTCCCCTGCTCTCCTTGCTGCTTCCCTTCAACTCCCTGGTCTCACAACATATGGTTTCAAATTCTCCAATTGCAGAGATTCAAACCTGTGGAACACTTATCATGACTTTTTACCTTTTTATTACACAACACATCCACAAAGACAATGAAGTTCTTTTGTTTTGCCTTTAAAATACAGTCAACTATCTCCCTACTTTTCATTACAGCCTCTGTTGGGTCAAGGGTGTGCACAAGGAAGACCTCGCAGTGGAGATTTTCTTCTCTCTCTCTTCCATGACACAGGGCCTTGCTGATCTGCTCCTTCCTCAATCTCTCTCCCAGGCAGAGTCCTCAGCTGCAACTTGTTTTTCTGATTCATCAACCTCTTCCTCTCACACAGAGCAGGCTGTGCTGTGCTGCTCCCCAGACAGCAGTGCAGGAGGACAGCTGGGCCTCCGCAGGCAGAGAGGTTTGTGTTCAGGGCTATAGCACTGTGGGAGGGTCATGTGTATTTTGCACACAATAATAAACTCCAGCATCCTCAGCCTCCATCCTGCTGATTTTGAGTGTGAAATCTGTTCCTGACCCACTGCCAGTGAACCTCTCTGGGGTCCAAGAGTACTTTTCAGAAACCTCATAAATCATAGCCCTTGGAGCCTGGCCAGGCTTGTGCACCAACCAGTGCAAATAAGTGTCTCCATCACTATACAGGAGGCTCTGACTGGACCTGCAGGAGATGGAGGCTGGCTCTCTAGGGGAGACAGATAGGGAGAGCGGAGTCTGGGTCATCACTACATCTCCTTTGGATCCTAAAATGATGAAGGAGAAGTGCAGTGTCAGGAGCCAACATCATAAGCCATTTTGATAGATTTCTGTATTTTGTCACTATCAAGTGAAATTAGTATCTTTAATGTAATGTACAATGAAAGATTTTCAAATTTGAGATTGTGTTCAAGGTTTCTAATTACAAGAACCCCTCTAGAATTCATCTCAGCACCTCTCTCTTTCTTTGCGGCAATCTTCATCAAAGGGCAGTTATTGAGTGCCTCAGGAATTTTCTTCACCCATTGATATAACCTCCCACACCCACGCTTCAACTCAGGACTGCACATCTCATGTATGGACAGGACTGATCAGGTGGAGTGGGACCCTGAAAGTCACCCTCTCAGACTGAGTCCGCCTCATCTCCCAGTGTTCTTACCATTGATCCAGAGTAATAGCAGCCCTAGGACCTGAAGAGGGAGCCTTATTTCGAGAAATTGAACTGAAGATTCCTGATCAGGCAGGGCCACCATAAATCTAGCTTTTATCTGAGACTCAATTGGGAAGGTCCTCCCTTGGGAACAAAATGCAAATTCCCAGGTGGGTGCAGTGGTGCAGAGAGTGAAGAGCATGGTGGGAGGCTTCTCATGGGAGCCCAGTGGTATAAAATGTCTGCTGCATTTGGGGGAAAGCAATAGAGCTACAATCCATTCTTTATGCAGCAATGGGTACAAAGATCTCTGGGAAAATCTGATTCTGCAGCATAGACACAGTGCTCATGACTCTGCCCATCCCAGACAGGACTTCAGTTCCCATGATACAGGGGTTTGTGTAGATCAGTCTCTGGGAGGGGAGTGCTCATGTTTCTTAGCCTTATGGAAAAGGAAGCAGCAATTGTAAGTTTATCAGAATTCATTTTTTTAGCATTTTCTAGCATTAACACCATTTAGTAGTGATGAGAAGACCTTTTTTTATAACCAGGCAACATTCATCATCTTAGAAACAAGTATTAGAAATAATCTTTTCCTTGAAACAGGAATTAAATGACATAGTAGCACTAAAATCAAAAGTATATGATACAGAGAAAAACATCTGTATTCAAATTGGAAACCAGTAACTCTGTCTTATATAATATGCTCTATCTTATACAATACGACTTATATAGGCGGATATGAAATTCCTTGTGACTAGATTTTCAAATTGGTCAATATCTGTTCAAGCTAGTCTTGCAGACACACACACACACACACACACAACACACACACACAGCAGTTTTATTTTTTAGGCAAAGATTTCTCTTGGTTTTATACTAAAGGAGAAATAATTGATGCTAGTTTTTTCTGAACTATCATAAAGCAAGCTTTTCATAGCTAATTTTTGTTTTAATAAATACTGTGTAGTCATGCTCCACAGTTTAAAGAGACATTCTCAATGTCAGATGTCCCCACTGAATCCAGGGTTTAAAGCCTCAGTGTAGTTTGAACCAAAGGCTGCTATGGTCCTGGAGTTTATCTGAGATGGGAGAGAGTTAAGCCAAGCTATCATTGGTCTGTAAATTCGTGTGATTTTTTATTGCAGCCCAAAGCTGCCGTGTGCCTCTCACAGATTTGGGAAGGAATATTTGTGGCAAAATTAGTAAATAAGGATGCTATCATGTGTGCTTTTATTGTAAATAAGGGACGCTGTTTGTACTTATTGGGTGTGCGTGTGTGTTGGGGCTTAAACCTATGACATTCACACTGAGGTGTATCGCCAGTCCTTTGTATTTCTCTGATTTTGAGACTGTGTCTCAGCATTGTTCACCTGCCCAGTTTCTGCCCCACCTGTCCATCCTTCTGACTCAGCCTCACTGTGCTGGGCTGACTGTTGCTCACTATCTGTATTGGGTGACTGTCTTCTGAATATGTGGGTGCCTACCAAAAAGTCTGAGAAGTTGAAACATTCATTTTTTGGTCCTATCTGGACTCCTTAGGCCCTGTTCCTCATCTGTCTCACCAGGATCAGTAGGAATGAAATGAAAAAAAATTTCAGCTCATTGGATCAGACACATGACAAAGTTCTAAAGCTTAACACACAGTGGGAGGAGACCAGGAATTGTTAGCGTCCGACTCAGACACATTGGGCCAGGTTTCATATTCTTGTCCTTGTAAATAAAGGAGGCTTTAAAAACCACATGCTGTTTGGCTGTGTTGTATTGAAGTGAATGAGCATCTTGGGTGAGACTCATATCAGGGTATAATAATTTGTTTTAATATTTCATAGCTAAGAATAGAATTATAGCAATAATCTTCTGAAAGCAAAATTAATGGTGATATTACACTGATTAAATCAATTAATAAACCACAAATTGAGTTGTGAATATTTGTGGCTTAATTATGAGGATGATGTCAGTGCTTTTATAGTGTGTATAAAATGTATTGGGATGTCAATTTTCTACAGCTGATTAGTGGTTTATTTTTCCTTGGTTTCCTTTACTTCTTAAATAATATGAAGTTTAAAATTTATTTCCTAAATATCTTATCCTAGGAACCAGATCAGAAGAATTGGAAGAGCCCTTTGCTGTCTGATATTTCCAGTGATAGTTACCTATCTATATGAGTTTTAGTACCTAGCATAGCTGACTTTGTAATCTATGGCTCTTTACATAGCAGCTGTGAGCATTCTTGAGTATTTTGTATTGCTGTATCCTCCTCCAAACAGGGTTTCATTTTGCACTTCATATACCACACTCAAGGTTAAAATTCCCAATCTTTCTGAAGCAGACATTTTTGAAATACAGATATTAGCTCATATTGGTCTGTACTCATTACTTTCAAGGAAATCTTGTTTTTTTAAATCTCATTTCCTAGGGTACTTTGAGCCCTCTTTTCAGTTCATCAGTTCATTCCTGTGGGAATGGTAATTTCTATTCCCCCTCTGCTGTACACTTCACCCACAGAGAGCACTTGTGAGCCAGTTTAGTTTAGGCCCCTAGGAGTCTGCACAAAGCGAGTTCTGGCTCAGGCTTCTGCTGTGTGGCTCATGCCCAGGGGGAGACCAGAGCTCCTGTTTGCTGTTCTCTTCAATACTTTCCAGATGAATGTGACAGGTGCTCAGGCAGGTTTGGTGACAAAATTTAAAAATGAGTCCAAATTTTTCCCTTTTGTCTTTCCTCTTCTCTCCCCTCTCCTGCCTCTTCCTCCTGCTTTCTTTCTTCACTTGTCCTCCCACTCCCTTTTTTCAGTTCTCTCTTTTGTGTGCTTTCTGTGCCCTGTTTTATTATTTCACGAGGATTGTGGATCTGAGGTAGCCGGGGTGTCGCTGTGTAGCCTCAGCCTCTTTAGATGGATGTTTTACTTGCAACTAAAGCTCTCTGCATCACGCCTAGTAGCTGTAACTGGCGAGTTCCCCAGTTGGCTTTAGAGCTTCTAGTTTGTCCTTTGTATCTGTTTTTGTCACACAAATACATTTTCTGTGATATTTTGATTCTGTATCAGCCACATTCCCAATGCATTGCACATGTCTAAGGAGAAACCAGTTACTCTTCTAAATTTGAATCTCAGGTAAGGAATTTATTCTGCAAGTGAGAGCTTCTGCAGAATTGTGAATTTTTTAGTAGAAATTCATTGTAACTCTTGTAATATCCAGGAGTGATGATGTAACCTGGGGTATCTTAGGAAAGTCCCAATACTTGACAGTGAACTATTGTGGACTTCAGAAAACAGAGTGGACCCAAAGCGCCCCGTCCTGCAGTACCTGTTTGGAGGTGGCCTCATGAGACACTTGTGGAGAGGGGAAAGATCACCCTCATGCTTGCTCAGAGTTGAAGTGGTTGTCACTCCTCTTGTGGAGGACCCTGCCTTGTATGGAGATCAGTAGACCCATCGCATTTGGCTGGCTGAGGGGTGTGGTTTTGAATACAGTGAGAGTAAGACCATGTGGCAGATGGTTCCTTTCATCTGCTGCCTCTTGTAGTGTAGGAGTCAGTGGTCAATTCTTTTCCTCTAGTTTGTAACACATTTACAGATGTGACCTCAGATGGACCTCAGCTCCATCTCTGAAAGTGCAGAGTGAATACATGTGCCCCACATGTGCCTATCTGGCCAGCAGGCTCCAAGGCTAGGTGCAGGGGTAGCAGCTCCATGCACATAAGCACATGCACATAGACAAATGTCGTGAGTGTCTTAGAGCACTCTGAACTCCGGGCAAGGTAAACACGCACACACGCCTGATCGGGACACGGGGGTACAGTGCTCGGAAAAGAAAGACAGGAGAGACACCTTTACTGTCTGCACCGCGTTACACTGCACTGCACGCACAATCTTTATTTTAGGATTCATATATAGTAAACCCGATCAGTTCACAGAGCCCAGATAATTAAGTGGTGAAAAGGCATTCTTTGTGGCAAGCTACAACGTGACAGACTACAATGTTTATTCTAAAACTATCTAAGTGAAGTAAATAATCACAACCAGTTCTCATAACTTCTCTAGCCCAGGAAGAAATTCATTAGCTCAAGAATGTTGTTAATTTGTCTGCTGTTAGTGTCACAAAGGGTGGCCAGCCACTTCCTCAAGACTTCTGCAAAACAAAGCCAGCTCACAGTATGGATTCCAGAGGGTGAGGGGTCTCACTGAGAACAGGCATTCCTATTCTACCTCCTTCTCGCATACCAGGGCGGCTATTGTAAATTGCAGGTTAGAGGGGGTTGGGCCTACAAAGTGACACCTCATCCCCCACACTTCCTTCCTTTTTATTTTTTAACAATAATTTCCATAAGATCAGGTTATTAATAGTATTTCGTCTTATGCAGTAAAAATACACAAGAACTATGGCAATGAGAACTATAATTAAACTAAGTCCCATGCCACTTAAAGTGTGGGTTATGCTCTGCCAGATTCCTTTGGAATCTAATCCTTTCAAAGATTGAGCAAGCAATTGCGCGAATTGTGCCAGGGATTCATCATCATTTTGCTTTGCAAAATCCTTGTCAATTTGATTATGCAAAGATTCTATTTCCTCCTGGGCAGAGGTGTTTCCATTTAGATACATTCTAATCACTTCCCATTCATGTTCTGTTTGATTATAAGGTCGTTGGGTTATACAGAAAGTAGTTGAATTCCAATCACATTTTAAAAACACTTGATGCTGAAGAGCCAATATTTTTCTACCCATCCATTCAACTGTTTGTTTAAGGAGGTCTATTTGTTGTTGTAGTTTGGCATTTATTTGCCACTGAGTTAACCAAAGTTCATGAGAATTCTCATGCCATAATTCTACAACATGTTTTTCTTGCAAAGAGGTTTGTAAAGCTATTCCTGAGACTGCTGCTAGGGAGGCTACAGTTATCAGACTTAACAGTACAGCAACCACTATTCCAATAAATCTTTTTGTACGTTTTAACAGATGTTTAAAAAATTCAGTAGTAACAGAAATTACTGGGTCTTGAGACCATGGTCGAGTTAAATTTACAGGCAACCAAATATGAGTTTTTTGTTGTAACAGCATAACTGTATAAGGCTTAGTGAAATTTAGTGTGCTATTTAAGCATGTAAACAATTGACAATTTAAACAAGTACAAGAAAAATGTGTAAAATTAAAAGTTCCCACTAAAAAGACATAAGGCAGAGGTGCACAAACAGTAATATTATACATTTTAAACCTAGTAAAATTATAAGTAGTAGATAGAGATCGACTAGTCCCTGAATAGGAAACATTGTACAAGGTTACAGGTTGCATAGCGGCTGGAATCTTCCAAATATGATTTTGAAGGTGATGAGGGTATTCTTCGGCTGCAACAGCAGGGTTAGCGATTCCACCATCTCCCCACCACAAAAGAGACGTCTTCTGAGGAAATATAGGAGCTCCGTCAGTTATTTTCTTTGGATCTGGAAGACTATACACAACAGAGAGATTACATCTTGTCTCATTCCATTCAGCACATCCATTAACGAATTTTCCAAATGGTCCCCAAATAATATACCCATCAATATTTTTAGCAAATTTTCCCATACATAGTTGCCAAATTATGGGATTATAAGAAATATTTTTATAAGTGAATTCAGGGCATACAGGAAATGTATTTATGTCAGGTGCTGTTAAATTTCTCCAGGTAACATTAAAGGTTTGAGCAGCCAAGGCTTGAAGCCTTGTCCTTTTGTTGCCTGCTTTTATTCCATGTTGAATCCAATACTGCCATCCCAGAGGGATGCAAGGCGGTTCCCCAATGCAAATAGGCCTTTGATTACCATAATAAGTAAAATTGAATAATGTCCCATCATCTTGATTGTGGGGGGTTAAATCAGCCCACGGTGCTGACAAAATTTCTCTAGGTGTGGTATAAAGTAAAATATCACTAGTTCCCCATTTTACAGGTTCTAATAAAGGGGGATTTGGAATATATGCCCAGTACGAATGTGGAGGTACCTCAGTCCCCGATGCAACGGTGAGCAAGGCACATAAAGCTAAAAACAAGTTTTCAGGGTTTAAAGGCTTTCCTGCTTGAAGGACAAGCCGTTGCCCTTCTATGGTCAATTTCTTTAATTGTCCCCATGTAGGGAGGGGATTTAAATTTGGTCGCTGTGAGCAGCGGGATTTTCTTAGCTGTAATCTGGCCATGGCTGCGATAGGAACAAGCTCAGCATCTTTAGCCTCTAGCTGGTTTCGCGCTCGCTTCTGAAGGCACGGTTCCGGTTCCTTGGGGAGTTGTCTCCGGGGCTGGCGAACAGGGTCTGGAGGCGCGGATCCTGATCCATCGTCCAGGGACCCACTGCTGAATTCCATTTTCTGTGGAGATATAACCAAAACCTTTCCCCTTATAGAGCAGTGTGCCCTTCTCCCATTCAGCCTCTGGAGCTGTTTTAGTCCAAATAGGTTCATTAATCACAAAGGGCTGTTGTTGCTGTTCGAAATGTCTTTCAGCTCTTGTTAATATTTCACCTTGTGGTAAATTGAGAAAATTTAAAATAAACAATGCTTGATGCAGTAATGTTTTTGGACTGTTTTGCAATTTAAACAGTATTGGTATCTGAATATCCTCCTGACTCCTCCTTTTTAATTTTTTAATTTGCAACTTAAGAGTGCCATGTGCTCTTTTAACAATAGCTTGACCCTGGGGGTTATATTTAATCTCTGTAATATGAATAATATTATGGAGATCACAAAATTGTTTAAATGTTCTGCTAGTATAAGCAGGTCCATTATCTGTTTTGATTTTAGAAGGAATTCCCATAACTGCAAAAGTCTCCAATAAATGTACAATAACATTTTTAGTGGATTCTCCCTGTTGAGCAGTAGCCCATAGAAATGAAGAATAGGTATCAATAACTACATGTACATAAGAAAGCCGACCAAAAGAAGGTACATGTGTAATATCCATTTGCCATAACTCATTAGGTTGAGTTCCTCGAGGGTTGAAATGAGTTGAGCTATACGTTCTCCCTTTAATAATTTATAATCTGTAAGTGAGGACATCAGAATTTGAATTTCTCCAGTATAATCTGCATCTATAATTCTTAAGTGAACCGTAATGCCTTTTTGATTTAAACTAGATCTACCCGTGAGCAAGCCAAAAGTTCCCGCAGGCAGGGGACCAAAAATTCCTGTAGGAATTCTCACGGGAGATTGTCCTCCTCTTAATTCTACATCTTTTAAGGCTGGTATGTCCACTGCGGCGCTGTGTTGGGTGGCTGGCTGTAGGGAGAATACGGTAGATTTACCCCATTGATTTGTCCGGGGCCCGGGGTAGGGCCCGCTCTCCCGTTTCCCTTCTGTTCAGCTGAATTAACTTGTTTACTCCTGCATTCACGAGCCCAATGATTTCCCTTCTTGCATTTTGGACATAAGCCAGGAGCTCTAGATCTCTTTTTTTGATCATTGCCTACAAGTTTTGGACAGGCCCTCTTTACATGTCCTGTCTGACCACAATTAAAGCATTTTAAAGACTGTTCCTTTTTAGATTGCCAATTAGTCCACGTGGTTGCCATGGTTTCAGCAAACAGTTGCATTTTCCTAGATTCTGAATTTAAATCTTTACATTGTTTTATAAAATTGTCAATCGTTCCAGTATCTTTTATTGGAATTAAAGCCCTTTTGCATTCATCATTAGCATTTTCAAAAGCTAACATTTTTAAGAGATGCTCTTGTAAGTCTTGTCCCACTACTGTTTTTTCTATAACATTTTGAAGTCTTGCAACAAACTCAACATACGGTTCATTGGCTCCTTGCAGAACTTTAGCCCAAGATCCATATTCTGATCCTTTAGACCGTATTTTATCCCAAGCTTTTAAAGCAATATCTTTTAATTGAGCATGAATCTCTCTTGGAGCTCCTGCCTGATGCTCAACAGTATCAAAGAAACCTGTACCAGAGAGCATGGGATAAGAAATGAGTCTAATATTAGGATCTCGATCGTCAGCATTTTGTCTTGCCTTTTCCGCACAACCTTCCATAAACCACATGTGCCACTGTAAATATTCTGGCTCCTTTAAAAGAATTTTGGCCAAGGCCTTCCAATCATAAGGAGCAAGATTACCATACTGATCTGCTACCGACGTTATTAATTCTTTAGTGTAATGAGCCTGAGGGCCATAAAGGGTTACAGCCTTTTTTAATTTTGCTAAATCATCTATATTAAATGCTTCCCATCTAGGGGGAACTGCCGCTCCATCTATTGGCTGCGGCCTGATTACAGGGAAAGCAAAGGCAGGCTTTTCCTCATCAGAATCCCCTAATTTTGGTAGATCAGCCAAAGCTAGCTTGGCTTTACTCCAATTAGGGTTAGATGGAGGAGGTGCAGAGGGAACTACAGGCGGGTTCTGCTTAACGGAGAGTTGTTTCACCTCTTGTGTTAAATGCTGTATAGCCTGTAAAATTGGGCGATTGTCATAATTTGATATTGCTGCGGCAGCTAAAGCTGAGTCGGCTGTAGTGGATTTTACTTTTAGTTTGGACGCCTTTTCACTACTTAAAGCGATAGCGTCATTTTGAACTACATTTTGCTCCTCCTCTGTGAGGGGCAATTCCTGAATAACTGGCTTAATTTCTAGTTGAAGATTTTCTACAATATGTTCATCTTCCATAGCTTTTAATAAAGAGTACACAACCGACCAAATAGCCCAAAAACGTAAAGGAATCTTTTCCTCCTGTTGCATAGCCCTTTCTATACTAACCCTTGCCTTCCTCCATACTTCTACATCCAAAGTTCCTTCTTCTGGAAACCAAGGATTATATTCTTTAATTGTATCAATACACATATCCAAGTCAGCTGACCTGAGCGATATGCCATATATAGATAATAAATGTTTAAGAATTTTTAAGAAAGGAGAGGAAGCAGATTGTCCCATTTCCCCGTAATAAAATTATACTTACCTTCCTAAGCGACCTTCGGAGTCCCTGAATTTGGGCGCCACTTGTCGTGAGTGTCTTAGAGCACTCTGAACTCCGGGCAAGGTAAACACGCACACACGCCTGATCGGGACACGGGGGGTACAGTGCTCGGAAAAGAAAGACAGGAGAGACACCTTTACTGTCTGCACCGCGTTACACTGCACTGCACGCACAATCTTTATTTTAGGATTCATATATAGTAAACCCGATCAGTTCACAGAGCCCAGATAATTAAGTGGTGAAAAGGCATTCTTTGTGGCAAGCTACAACGTGACAGACTACAATGTTTATTCTAAAACTATCTAAGTGAAGTAAATAATCACAACCAGTTCTCATAACTTCTCTAGCCCAGGAAGAAATTCATTAGCTCAAGAATGTTGTTAATTTGTCTGCTGTTAGTGTCACAAAGGGTGGCCAGCTGTCGGTGTCGCTCCCGGCCGGCAGGAAGGACACACGACAAAGTCTGGCAGTGGACAACCTTTTCTTTTATTTTCTCTCCGTACAGCCTGCCCTGGGATCGCTCCCAGCTGAAGCCTCCTCTGGTCCGCTCCCCGCGGCTCCTTCTGGGCTTCGCTCCGAAGCCTCTACCGGTCCGCTCTCCGCGGCTCCTTCCGGGCTTCTACTTCCCCCCAGGGGTGGCACCAGTATATATACGGATACAGTGTCCAATCATGTTAAAGTAAGCAAGGCAAGCTGATTGGCTAACATATTATTGAGCGGGTTGTTTACGCGGTAAGCAGGAAACTAACGTGCTCGATGGGAGGGGTAATCTAACTCAGGCTTTACTCTTTACCACAGGCCGCATGATCGCTATATGCAGCGGCTCGACAATGTGGTGGCTCCCAACAGCCAGCCACTTCCTCAAGACTTCTGCAAAACAAAGCCAGCTCACAGTATGGATTCCAGAGGGTGAGGGGTCTCACTGAGAACAGGCATTCCTATTCTACCTCCTTCTCGCATACCAGGGCGGCTATTGTAAATTGCAGGTTAGAGGGGGTTGGGCCTACAAAGTGACACCTCATCCCCCACAGACAAACAGAAATGGACACACACAAATACACATGCACACACATACACACACACACACACACACACACTTTCCTGGTCATGCCTAGGGGCTAAGATATAGCAGAGCTCACCTGTCAGCAGAATCTGCTGTTGGAGAGGGAAGCACACCTGTCCTGGGCTGGGATCTACCACTCTCCTCACATAAGTACTAATTCATTTTTAGAAAACCTAGAAAAATACTTCTGTCATATAACTTTCTCAGCAAGAGAATTCTAGAGTTTGCTTCACTTGCTCTGCTTTGTTTTGTGTTTTCCTTTACCAACTTTATTTATTTATATTTAATGTGGTCCAGTATTTTGATCTCTCGTCCTTTTTTTATTTCTATGACTCATTTTCTTATTGTTGTATTATGCTGTTTATTTTATCATTTTTTCAGTCCCCTTTTAAGCTTATTATATTATCAAATTCATCTTTATTAATTTATGTGTTTCTAGTTCTCTCTGCACTATTTTGACCCTTTTTTATTTCTACAGTTGATACATTTGTTAAATTAAATTGATTTTTTACTGTATTTCCATATCTTGATGGGTACTGATGGAAAGACAGAGCTTTACATAACCATAAATTCCCTAACTACTGTTGATCCATGTTAGATATTCCTTGAGAATTCTCTTGCCCCTTTGGATCTTGTTATGTTAGTGGGTTCTGTGGCATTCCTGTGACAAATGAGGGGTCATTTCCTGTTTTCAAGTCACTCCTGCATTCTGATGAGGTCAGATTCGTAAATGAATTGGGTGTTCAGTTGTGCCCACTGGATTGGTGGGGAACATGTGATACAGCCTAGTGCATACATGGCCAGGATCATTACTAATCTTGGTGTTAGCCTTCCATGATGCACCCTTCCTCCATATTGCAATTGGGTCTGATCCATACTTGAAAGTGAAAAAGGTACCTCTTTAACTCTGATCCTTCCTGAGTAGTAGGCTGGGTCTCCCAACCTGTAAACCAGACTGACACCACCTCATCCCCTAGTGAACCTTACACAATAAGCAAAAAAAGGTAGATAGAGTACAAATGTTATACACAAATTGCATCTTATTAACCATCTCAGGTTTACATCCAAATTGAAAAAAAAAAAGAATAGAATTTGCAAAGCTCAAGGAACCTGTGGAAGTCAGCCACATCCTCTTTATGTGGCAGAGTCTGCACAGAACATAGGTCCCCATGCTCTTTTGATTTTCTACTTAGTCATGCACAGAGGCCTTTTCTGCACTCTGCTGTACTAATAAACTCTTCTGGTGTGCCCAACATTGCAGGTGACCAGCTGGACCTTCCAGGCCGGGAGGATTTTTCTCAGGGTTGCATCACTGGGGGAGGACATCCTATTCCTTGATAACAGTAATAAACTCCAGCCTCCTCACCCTGACCTCTGCAGATTTTGAGTGTGAAATCGTTTCTTGATAAGCTGCTAATGCACCTTTCTAGGACCGAAGAGTGCTTTTTGAAAACCTGAAAAATCATGCCTTGTGGAGCCTGGTATGGCTTATGTACCATTATCTCAAATAGATGATTCCATCACTATGCTCAAGACTCTGTTTGGAACTAGAGGAGAAGGAGCCTGGTTCTCCGGGTGCCAAAGAGAGTGAGAGAGAGTGGGGTCTTGGCATCTGAATATCTCCTGTGGACCCTTAATCATTGGATAGAAAGACAAGGTCATGTACAGGCATGATGATTCATTTTCATATTGTCTCCATTATTTCATATTTGAAGCTAAATTATTTTTGCGATTTTCATATATAGGAAAAAGTGTTCACTTATAATAAAGTATCCAACATTTGCACCCACTTGAGAATTAATGTGGATCATCCTTCTCTTTCATTGTGACATCATCACCTCACCATAGCTCCAACTCCAGTGGAATTTTCCTCACTCACACAGACCTCAAGCTCTTGTTCTCACCCTGTTCCTGAAGGATGCAGTCTCTCACATGGAGAGAACAACACAGGTAACAGTGGGACCCCATCCCACTCACTCATTCTCCATCCTCATCTCCCTCCATCCTTACCAGGGATGCAGAGCATTACCAGCTCCAGGAAATGAGCAGGGAGCCTCATTTTGAAATGCTGAAATGAGGGTCCAGATGAATCAAGACAGGTTGAGTTTTTATCTGGAACTTGAAGGGAAGCCTCTCCTTGGGGACATCATGCAAATGTCCTGGTGGGCATAGTAAAGGGCAGGATGGGAAGCCTCTCCCATGAGCAAAGTTGCTTCAAATCTCTATATTTGGGGAAAATCAGAAGAGCAAAGTCCATGTGCTGTCCAGCACTAGGAGGAAGGATCCCATTTCTAAAGGCCCTGTCCATACTGCAGCATGGTGCCTCAGTGCTCTTCCCCAGTAAGGAAACCACTGCCTCCTCCAGTTACTGCTCAGCACAGCAGCTTTGTGCTAGTGACAACATGGAGCCTGGAGAGGGCTTCTGGCAAATGTGGTTTAGAGGTGAACTATTGAGATGTTAGTCTTCATGGGCACAAGGGTTACACACCATGGGGCACTGCTGTCAACAGAATTTTCCAGGAATATAAAAAAAAATTTCTGTTTCAGATAGAGAATTAGGTGTCCTGTTGAAGGCAAGTGGAGAAAGAGACAATGATTGTGCATTAGGTAATCAATACATAATTCCCAGGCAGTAGTTTAATTGATGAATATCCTGTCTTACTTATCTCCACAGAGAGATGTTAATATGAATACGAACAGATATTAACATGTAAATGGGTATACTATAAACATATGTTTGTATAGAAATACATCTCTCTATATGTTTTTACATGTTAATCCGTATCTTTGTACACAGACATGAAGGAATATGTATCTATAAATGTATATATATATATATATATATATATGGCTATATATAAATGCATATATGTACATTCCAATGTACTAGATTAATTAAAATTGTTCTTAGGGGGGTAATTCCTTTGAAATCTTTCTTAATTTGGGGAATTTTGAGACACAATCACACTTTGTAGTTCGTCCTGGCCTTGAGTTCACTGTGCAGCCCAGGCTAGGTTCAAACAGGTCAGCTACATATCCTCATTCCATCAGAAACTGCTCACTCACTGTACAGACACCCAAGGGTCTGTGGTTAACTCACCAGTTCAGTCACCATGGGTTTGGAAGACATTTCACTGCTACTAACAGCAGCTTATAAGCTGAAGACATAACATAATGTCTGCAACCAGTGTTGTAGTCATTCTCCCCGTTTGATTCATCCTGGAGCATCCTGAACTCATTTTAGTGTCTATCCTGCTGTTTGCTGGCCATGTGACATGGGAGGTGCACTCTCTCCATCTACCTAAAAACTGTATCCCATTCCTTCTGATAAGAATGGTGACAAGGTTTAGCAGAAAATTAAATGGACTGGTGTGCCTTACATACTTTATTATGAAAGATTCTTACAGAAAAACTAAGTAAAGACATCCACATTACTTTTCCATTTCTACAGAAAGATTTCACATGAATTCACTTCTTAAACATGCAAAAGTCATCATGTTACACTTCTGCAGGTCAGAAGTCCAACTCAGTGTTCAGTGTGATAGAGCCAGGATGCTGTCAGGATGCATTCACTCTGGAGGATCCAGGAGGGAATCTGTCCTTTTAAAGTCCTAGAGGTGTCCCAGAGCCTGTGTCCCTCATATTCTTACTCCCAACATTTCCTCCTGGCCCCTCTCCAGGTCATACCTCTGTGTGTGGCCTCCCTGTGTGCTGTCCAGATGTCAGTACTGAGAAACTTCAGTCCACAGGAAAGAAGGGTAAGATTTTGTGTTACAGAGATTCTGCTTTGCATTTTTTCAACATCAGTTAATTAAAAATATTCCATTGTTAAGGAGGAAAACTTTGTTCCCCTGTGGGAATAATGAGCTAGCTGATTCCATTTATGCATCCATTTTCAATTGCAAATCAGCATTGTCTGTTCTAAGACAGCGAAGACAGTGAGTTTTAAAGTTGTTTTTTCTATAAAGTGGCCATTGTTTGCTTGCTTAGTGTGTACCAGGAGAACAGACATATTGAGTGGCACCATGGAGAGCCCATGATGATGTTTTCAGTGTGGTGTAAAGATACAATGGGATGCACCAAGGTGAGATCCTCACCTCCAAAGGAGCTATCTATGGAATTATGACAGCAGGAATGACTGATATACTTTATCCAAAATTAAAAACAAATGTTCCCTAGAAAACACAGCAATTTAAATAGTTTGTGGTGTTCACATTGAAGGAAAGCTCTCTATGAGTATCTGAGACATCTAGAGCATTTATGCAGGGTGCAGGCAGCAGTGAGTCTCAGGTGAGTTTGTTGTGGGTGAACAGAGTGCACCCTGGAAAGCCAATGGGTACTTACTGGTCCTAACTTAGAGCCAGAATATGTTTTTCGACACACAGTTACACATGTGTCAAAATCAATAGTATTGTATACTAGAAATGTGGCTTTTTATAAATGTAAAATTTATCCATATCATCCTGTCTTAAAAAGGAAAAAGTTCTGTGACTGTGGCTCTGCTGTAGCACTGAGCATTATGGAAACCCATACGAGGAAAATAATGTATTGATTTGTGCAATTATTATCTAAGGGAACTGTTATTCTCTATGGCTAACTTTTTTTCTCGTACAAATGTTGAAGATCTTTTGTTTTGGGGACTTTCATGGGAGCTGTTAAGTACTGAGTTGGGTAATATTTTCATTTAAAGTTTCATTAAAATTCAAAAATGAGGATTGTATGATCCTTTCTTGTACAGATGGTAATTCTGCATACACAGTGTTAAATGGAGATGCTTGAGTCTGGCCTCAGGCTCTGGTATGCAATCTACCCAGTGGACCCAGCAGTTGGCTTCCTAGCAGCTGGCCTTGAGGATGTCACCCTCTTGCTGACTCACCTTTGTTGTGGGGCTCTGCAGATCCTGCTGCTGTCTGAGAGCAAAGTAGAGCAATACGGTGCTGAGGTCTTCATTTTCAACCAAAAATTTTCACTATCCTGTTAAGGCTGGACTGTGTGCTTCTCTGCTCAGAGGTTTTCTTCCCTGTGGAGGAGGCACGGCCATCACTTCAGATCCAGAATGAGACCCTCAGTTCTTCATCTTAGCCATTCTGTGTAAGTCAGGGAATTTTCCCCATGCTATGATTTTTCATTTGAATGTAGGAATGATCCATCTCTCACGTTAAACGTGAAATAATAATAAAAATTCTTTATTCCAAAACAAAGAGAAATGCACATCAAGTCCAGTCTGTCCTTAAAGTATTCATTAGTTTCTCTTTTTTGTCCTGACTTACTGTCATAGCTCCTAGGCCCCCTGGTTAGGCACATCCTTGGCTGCTGTGATTGAAATTTGGTGAAGTCTGAACACTCCTCATGTCCCATTGATGTCCACAGATTGAGATGAGTATGGTCTCATGATGGATGAGGATGGAAGTTTTCTTCTGTCTGTTTTCTTGTGGATGTTTAAGACTGACCCAGCACCTCCAAATTCTAGTGAAGCACTATGCAACTGAGCTGTACCTGCAGTCCCAGATTTGAGATTTTTCTCATTTCTGCAAGGCGATACAATGTGATCAGCCCTGCCTGCTCTCTGCTGTCTAACCTTGTGTCCTATTGGGTGTCCTTTTCTCACAAATGCCTCTTCTCTGGGTCTGGTTTATGACCCTGAGATTGCTGAATTCTTCTCCTGCTCATGGCCTCATGACTCATTATTTCATTGCCCAGTTGCTATTTCCCTTGGTAATCAGGCTTCAGTTCGTTCCCCATTTTGACTATGACCCAGGTGAGAGTCTGGTGTAGCTTTTTCTCTTTTGAGAGCTGGACCTGAATGTTGAGGACTTTAACCATGAGAGTCTTTCATCACTGGTGGTGACTAGAAGCCCTGAGTTTTTCCACATGGATCACATTGTTCTCAGGGATGATCTGCAATTCACAGTGAAACTGCCTCTCACTTTCATAAAATCCTCCATGTCCTTTGAGGCCCTGGTATTTGGGACAGCCTAGGATGAAGCCAGTGAGGCATTTGCTTTGGTTGCAAAACTGAAGAAAGTGCCCACATCTCTGTCACTTGTATGATAAACTTTAATGCATCCAAAGGCCACTTGATATGAAAAAATCAGAATTGTAGGTGAAAACTGATAGAGTTACTTCCAAAAGATGAAAAATATTAACAAAAGATGAGAAATATAAAATAAAAAGCGGCCTTTATTCTGAGAACACGGAGAGAGATGACCGGCAACCCCCACCGCTGGCGTCCGGCGATCTCTCCGGCGGACACGCGGCGTGGGGGCCTGTAAATAACCTCGGTTTGGGGTGGAACCTAAGGCGGGCATTAGGGATACACAGGTAGCCCATTGGTCCTAGGTTTGGCGCCATATGTAAATTCCCAGGGGCGGGAAGATGGCGTCACAGGTAACTTCCTAGGGGCAGGGCAAGATGGGGCTTCCTGCTTCCGGTTGTGGCTTTCCTGGCTACTGTGTCCTGTCTGGGCCAAACCTTTCATATCCCATCTTATGGTTATTATGAAAAGGGGCAAAGCTTTCTCTCTTTAACTACTTCCTGCTGGCAAAGGGCGCTGTACTGGAGCCTAGGGGAGTTGACGGGATGAAGGTTGATGCCCAGGTAGACGCTGGTACCAGGTGTTTTGGCCAGGACAGCTTCACTGGTGAATGCACGTATGTCAGACTGGAAAAACAAAGAGACAAGATGTTATGAGGAGACATGGCACTGTCATATTTAAGGACCCAGGTGAGGTAAAGGGAAAGGTGCCTTTGATTTAGACATATCATTCTATCAGGACCATGTTGAGGTAGAAACATTTCCACGGTGAGGCAGAATTCTGAAAATTAAACGTGGGGTTAGGAGGAGTGGAGTTATGAGAGGTGATTACTCCCCCATCTGAAAGCATAAAAGTTAAGACGGTAGGTTGGTAAGGCTTGTCTCTGGTATGCATGATGTTGGAGTCTGTAGGCAATACTGCTAAAGAGTCCTGCTGTAAAAATGATCATTAATAGAATGTAAGAAATTAGGAACCAAAGTGGATAACAAAACATGACTTAGCCTGTTAACTGTGGCTGCGAGGCCTTTGTGAGACGGAGACAGGTAGGAGACAGAAGATGAGATGACCACTCAGAATGATCAGATTTAGGGCTGGGAGGGCACCTCTTAGCCTGAGTGATGTGAAACCAGGATGGCAGTCTAGCAACTTTGATTTAGGCATGGGTCACTGTAACCTGGTTGTAGTCCTTGGAATGATTTGCTGTAACAGAACTTTAGCAAGTATGAGAAAGGCTTTTATGTATCCTGAAAAAGTATAAACCAAGTGAGAAGACTGGGACCTGCACAAAATAGGCCCTGTTTGTAAATGGCATAGGTTGACCATCAATACCCCATCATAGAGACTGAGGACTTAATATAGCAGCCTGAAAACTCAGGAAGAACTCTGTATATATGGCCTCTATGTCCACAAATATAGAGAATGTCTTACCTGAGAGTTTTGTGCGACTTGGAATCTGAGACGGACACCTTAAAGGGGGCTGTTGTTGCCCTGAACTTCCTCAGTCTTCAGCAGCGATTTTCTGTCGGTGATGAATCTGGCAGTGTCAACATTTCCTATGAGGGCTAGAACTTAGGATGGCTTACCCACTCTCTGGTGGCTAGGACAGTCCAGTAGCCCTGGAGTAAGGCCTCAAAGAATGCCAGGGTGGGGCATTTTCTTGCCCAGTATCTTCTGCTGCATTTGAGCGTGGTCCATGGAGGGGGCAGGCAGCTCCACCTTGTGTAGGTTTACCTGTCTCAGAACTACAAGTGTCACAAGTGTTAAAAATATAAAAAACCATATTAAGATCTCTCTAAGGTTTGAAGGTCAAGTTTTGCCTTTTTGTTTGGGATTTGGACTATAGTAGAATTAAGTAAGCATGCAGGAATTTAATATTGGCATTTTGGATTAGAGAGCAGGCTTTATCTGGATGGCATATTGCTTTTTTTATAGGGTGACATGTAGAATTAACAAAGCTTTAGTCTGCCAAACAAGGCTTTAATGGAAACATTTTGCAGTAAAGTTTTAGCAATCTTATGAATAAATCAAAACTGATCTAATACTGTCAAATTTTGAACACATTTATTTTTAAAGTTGTTATTTGCAGTAGTATGAACCAAGACAAATAAAATAAAACTTTAAAGAAAACCCTTGTCTTGAAAGACAGCTAGTGGTTCCCAGCAAAAAGGAATTTATTACCTTAGTTGTTAAACAGGAGATTGGTGAAGGCTTTGATTGATAAGCAAGGCTGGTAAAATTATCAGGTGGCCAATAACCTTGATTAAATGGTTTGAGAATTGTAATAAAAAAGCATCTTTTGAGTGGAGCCAAATTGTAAAAAAAGCATGCCTGAGCAGAGCCGCTGAGCTGCTGTTTCGCGGCGCTCCGGCAGAGCACGCCCAGTGGGTGGGGCAAGCGCTGGGATGTAGCACGCAGGGGCGGGCTCAGACTGCCCCCGGAAACGTGTAAGATGGCGGCGGTGACGAGGACGGCGCACAGGGGAAGGAGGGGCTGGGACGGCGCATGGGGGAGGGGCTGGGAGGCGGCCCGACACAGCGCGCGAAGCTGGAACTGCTTGCAGGGCGTGAGGATTAGAAAGCCAATTTAGGAACACAGCTGGGTTTTGATTAGCCTCCTGGACCTGTTTTAAAAGTTTGTTATAGTTAGTATGCTTGTCCTGCTCTGGCACAGATATAGGCCCAGAGTCATTATAAACGTCCTTAAAATGTAAATCATAACAATTAGTAATGAATTCAAATTGCCTGATATAATTCTGTGGGTCAACAGAAAAGCTACCTAATTTATGGACAGTCTGGGATAGATCAGAAAGGGAAAAAGGCACATGGATGTTAACAAGTCCCTCGGGGCCAGCTTGCTCCCGAAGCGGTAGCAGAGCCTGAGGAGATTCCGGAGCAGAGGGCCACTGAGCAGCCATCCTTCCGGTAGGCGCATGTGAGCAATCATCTGTAGAGCGGCTACAGAGCTGCTGCCGGTCACCCTGGGAAACATGAGCAGATGGCGTCTCACTGTGTGCCTTGCAGCTAGAGGACTGCTGTCAGCAGCACAATGAAGCATCATGTGCACTGCAACAGGGTGGCTGTTGTAGTTCACAAGAGGAGCCACAAGGAGACGCCTGTTGACAGTGAGGGCCCTGGAAACATGGCGGCGCCCTGTCACGTGACCCAAAACATGGCGGCACCTGGGAATATGGCTGCGCCCTGTCACGTGGCCCGAAACATGGCGGTGCCTGGGAACATGGCGGCGCCCTATCATGTGACCCGAAACATGGATGCGCCCTGTCGCCATGTGGCCCTCCGGAACATGGCGGCGCCATGCCACGTGGCAGAGGGTTGCAACATGGCGACTGTTCCCTGCGCAAGCTGGAACAATCACGCGACCTGCTGGAAGGACATAGCGACCGAGACCTAGTATGGTGGGCAGAGGGTGAGAATGCTGTAGGGGATACAGAATTCTCAGGAGAGGAAGTCGGAGACTGCGAGGAAGCGCTAACAGAGGGATTAAAGCTGCTGGGAGAGTTATGGGTCCCGGAAGGCAGAGAGGGAGCCGATCGCACAGCGGGAGGTATCTGCGACAGAGAGGGATTAGAGCTGCTGGGAGAATCAGGCATAGGGGGAGGAGAGAGTGGCCCGGCGGGAGGTAACGGCAGGGAACGAGTTTGGTGGTAGGCAGGCGGTGGCCGGGAAAACGGATGGCAGGAAGGAAAAGTTTGCGGCGCAGTAGACTTAGCTAAAAGTATCTCAGCGGGAGCACAAGACTTAATGAGAGATGGGCGTGTTCTCAGAATAAGAAAGGCTTGGACATAAGGGAGTTCTAATAACTTGTTGCCAGCTTGACAAAAATCGTACAAGTTCCTGAGAATGCAGGGGTCAAATGTTCCTTGCTGAGGCCAAGGCTTGCCGATAAGCGGGTAGGTTGGCCAGACCTCCTGGCAGTAAAAAGTTAGTTGTTTAGTTTTTATGGTACCTTTAATTTTTAGAGTACGTAAATTGGAAATTAGGCATTTTAAAGGTGTCTTTTGGGAGTTAGAAAATACGTTCCCCATGACTGATTCAGGCAAGAAAAAAACCGGAGGTCCAGAAAAAAGTCGTCACTTATTTGTGGTACCACGCGGCGGCTACGGTTCCAAACCATAAACTCCAGTCGTCACTGAGAGATTTACGAATGGAGTCTACGTGGGGTCAGTAACAGTTTTGCCCGTGAAAGCGCAAGGCTTTAAGGGAAGTGAGGCATTCTTTCAGTGTGGGCGGTCCCAAAAATCTCTGCTTTGGGCTATCCGAACCCAAAGAACGTGAGAGATTTTGTGGGCGCAGGTTTGCCCAGAAAGAACCCTGCCCTGGGCGGTCCTAAGGACGTGAAAATGCACAGACCCACGCAGACGGGGAGAACATTCCACTGGGGCTGCCCAGTGCGAAAAGTTCCCCGGGGAGTGCTCACCTGAAATCAGTCTGGCCGATGCGGAGTGCAGGCGGCTGGCGACAGGAACGTCTCGGGAGAGGAAAAAGCTCGGGATTAATCCAGGATGGTATCTGGTTATCGGCGAGGAAACTCTGGGTATGTGGCCCAAGAGTTAGTTGCCTGCCGATCGAGTCACGGCAACAAATGATAGAGTTATTTCCAAAAGATGAAAAATATTAACAAAAGATGAGAAATATAAAATAAAAAGCGGCCTTTATTCTGAGAACACGGAGAGAGATGACCGGCAACCCCACCGCTGGCGTCCGGCGATCTCTCCGGCGGACACGCGGCGTGGGGGCCTGTAAATAACCTCGGTTTGGGGTGGAACCTAAGGCGGGCATTAGGGATACACAGGTAGCCCATTGGTCCTAGGTTTGGCGCCATATGTAAATTCCCAGGGGCGGGAAGATGGCGTCACAGGTAACTTCCTAGGGGCAGGGCAAGATGGGGCTTCCTGCTTCCGGTTGTGGCTTTCCTGGCTACAGTGTCCTGTCTGGGCCAAACCTTTCAAAAACAAGATCTTCCTTGTGAACAAATAAATGTCAATAAGGGTCGTGTGATATTGTGGCAATATGATATTGGTAAGATTATTTGATTCATGATGTTGGTAGTGTTTCTGTCACCAGTTCTGATCAGTGGCTGGGTTGATAGCCACATTGCATGTGTGTATTGCAAGGTCGTTAGAGTCCAAGACACTTGATTTCTGAAAGGTGGAGAATGGCTTGTGTGCTGTGTTTAGCTGGCGCGGGGATGTGTGCGAGTGTTAATTCTAATGACTGCAAGAGCACTGGATCACTTTAGGAGGAGGAGGGAAATGATGTTTCACTAGTGTTCTGTATGAGCCTGTTTTCTGTAACTAAAAGGCAAATAATGAACAGATTAAATGCCTAAAACTTCCTGAGATACCTGTGACACTTCTGCAGTAGTTGAACCAGAGCATAGTGTTGTAAGCAAAATAGTGCAACAAATCTTAGTTTGAAAGTGATTGAACAATGTCCCTAGAAACTTTCAGTGCATGAAGCTGACCAGAAGAGGGCACCACATGCACATTCACATACTGTAGGTGAAACTTTCAGTATCTGGCTGTGACCCTACAAGTGAAATTGGCACATTTTGTAGCAATCAGACCCAGGGGGAAATTTCCTTGGAGTGTAATATAGGTTAAGTTTACAATTGCAAAGTGAAAAATGGTTCCATTAATGTTATTTTTGCCCTGGGGCATTAATCTCTCTGACTTCTTTTCTAATTTTTTTTTTCTTTATCTTAGTAGCCATTTCTTCTTGGCCTCCCCTGTGGATCTGTCTTCATCTCTTTGCATTGCACACTGGGCTACCATCCTGGTCTCAGTCTGCTTTCATTTGTTTCACTCACCTTGTCCTTTGGAATTGGTCCTCCTAGCTCAGTGTAGTTCCCTGATCTCCAGAATCCCTCCTGTGCCTCTGGGTTAGGATAGTGCAAGCTGGAGGCTGGGAACTCCTCACAATTCTAATCTGCGCCCTCATATATCCTAAGTCTCCCCTGCTGCTCACTGTTGCTTCCCTTCAACTCTCCTGTTCTCACAATATATGGTTTGAAATTCTCTGGTTGTTCAGTTTCAAACCAATGGAACAGGCATCCTGAATTTCACCTTGTTCTCACACATCACATCCAGAAAGACAACGCAGTTCATTTGTTTTGCCTTTAAAATATAGTCATCTGCCTACTTTCACTACAGCATCTGGGGGATCAATATCCTGCATGAAGACCTTGAGGTGAAGAGTGTTCATCTCTCTCTCTTCCTTGTCACTGGTTCTTTTTGCTCAGCTGTCTTCCTCAATCTCTCTTCTGGTCAGAGGAGCTGCACCTTGTTGTTCTGATTCTCCAAACTCTTCCTCTCACACAGAGCAATCTGTACTGTGCTGTTCCCCAGACAGAAGTGCAGGAGGGCAGCTGGGCCTCCCCAGGCAGGGAAGTTTGTGTTCCAGGCTGTAGCACCATGGGAGGTTCATGTGTACCTTGCACAAATTTTTTTGTGATTTTCATATATACTAAATGTGTTCAATTACAATAAAGTACTGAGGATTAGAACCCTTCTTGAGAATTAATGTGCATCATCCTTTTCTTTCTTTGTGACATGGTCACCTCACCATAGTCCCGACTCCAGTGGAATCTTCTTCATTCACTCAGACCTCAAGCTCTTGTTCTCATCCTGTCAAGAAAAGCTGCAGTCTCTCATGTGGAGGGAACAACACAGGAAACAGTGGGACCCCATCGCTCTCAATTGCTCTCCTTCCTTTTCTCCCTCCAT